CCTCGCTCAGCCAGTGAGCGGGAACCGGTCTGTATGTGGGATCCGAACCCTCGGCAGGAGTGCCTCCGCGCTTCCCCAAGTGGCGCACTAGCGCAGTGCGCCACTGGGCTGGCCCAAGGCCTCCTCTTTTTGTGTGTGTTTTCTACATGGTTTCCTTTACTCATCTCCTTTAGTTTGATGGACTTATATAAGGAAAGAGGATTCAGAGGTGTGTTGAGAAGGCCTCGGGTTTCCAATCAGCTCTTCTCTTAAATAAATATGCAACGTCATGCAGGCATTCAATCTGTGAGGCCTCCATTCCCAACACCCTCATTTGATAGATGAGGGCTCCTCCTACGCCCTTCAATTCAAAGTGGCATCTCCTCCAAGATATTGATTAACCTCAAATGGAAAAGCAGTAACTTCACCCAACAGACACCACCTCCACCAAGTAATCAAGGGTAAGATTGCCATTAAGAAGACACATGGACATCACATACCCCTGCCGTGATGCTGAGAAGGGCACGCCACCACTTCTGCAGTGTTCATGCAGGAACACACAACCTTCCTTAACTTAACCACGAGGGAACTATCAGACAAATCCAAGCCTAGGGACGTTCTGCAAAATAACTGACCAATTCCCTTCAAAAGTGTCAGTCATGAACGACAAGCAAAAACTGAAGGACTATCACAGACTGGAGGACGCTACGGAGACGTGACAACTAAATTCACTGTGGGATTCTGAATCAGAACCTCACCCAGAGTAAAACATTAGCAGAAAAAATGGTGAAATCAAATAAAGGTATTGCACCAATGTTTATTAGTTTTGTACTATCTTACAAAATGTTACCACTAGAGGAAGCTAAATGAAGGGAATAAAGGAAGATTCTACTATTTTTCCCAACTTTTAAGTCTACCATTACTTCAAAATAAAAGGTTATAAACTTCAAGTAACTCTTACTGGATTTTGCCTTGATTATCTAGCGTTTCCACGGATTCACTACAATGCTTTATTTTAGATAACCCTTCCCAGTGATCTATACTTATAAAGTAAATTTCCAAATTCCAAACATGTCTTTATTCCTAATACAATAAGTAGGGTGGAAAAAAATGTCAATATATTATGAGCCATTTAACAAATACAAAGAGAAGAAAAATAGGTTAATAAATTAATAAATAGTAATCATCTGTGATCGAATACTGCATTTAAGAATCCCTGGTCAGGACTATTTATTTTTTGTCAGAAGAATGGAAACAGAATTGGAAGTTTGCAGGCGAGTCTTTATTGCACCTCAATGGCAGGGAACGGTAGGACTCTTCTGCCCTCTGTCCCCACACCAGGTCCACCTCTGCAGTCCTGTATTAGCTTCCTCCCAGAGAAGGAACCAGCTGAACTGCTTGGTGCCTCAAACATTTACTGCACCTTGATTGTAAGGCATCAGGCTCACTCTGCCTAAGGTGCATGAACCCAGGCGCCCCGCCTCTTACATCCCTACTGCAAACCTAGGCTTGTAGAGAATCAGTGTACTTTGCCTCTTTCCCTTCCCTGAACACCAGGGGATGGAAGGTTCAAAAGGGACAGTAGGAAATCAGCAGACACTTGTGCAGGTATTAACAATGTGACACATTGACTTCCTCTTAACTATGGGGTCTCCCATGGAGTCCCTTATGATCCCTGTGGGGACAAAATGTCATTGTCACATAGAATTTGGGTGTCCAGGGGCTGGTCAGTTAGTTGATTAGAGCTTGGTGCTGGTAACATCAAGCCCAAGGGTTTGGATCCCCTAATAAATAAATAAATAAATAATTTGGGTGCCCCAACCCCCACTCACATAATTCCTAATAAAAACCATATCCACATTTTAACACAAAGAACCAAAGGAAATAATTACAGAATATCTATTCTCAAAGCATAGAAAACTATCTGTGAAAGAAGGAAGTAATGCAAGCCTAGGGAAGCAAGATCCAAATTACCTTCTTAATGAACGCCACAGAAAACGTATCCCACGACACTATGCCATGGTCCATCAGCTCTACAAAGGCCGTCAGGGTAAATGACAGCATGTCTCCAAAGCTGCAAAACAGAGAGAGCAAAGAGTTACAGGCCTGAAGCTGAGCACAAGGAAGGACACAGAAGTGAGGAAGCTTAGAAAAGTGGGCACAAGCAGAGTTTTGAAAGGTCATCAGGGGCCGGCCCAGTGGCGCACTTGGTAGAGTGTGGCACTTGGGAGTGTGGCGGCGCTCCCACTGAGGGTTTGGATCCCATATAGAGACCGGTCCGCTCACTGGTTGAGCAGGGCACGGGTGCGACGCTGAGGGTTGCGATCCCGTTACCGGTCACGAAAAAAGACAAAAAAGAGGAATAAATAAATAAATAACAGGTCATCAGGATAAGCAGCTGGGCCACAGACAACTTTCTCACAACCGTGAGTGGCAGGAAGGGGCAGGACAGCATGCCCAGGGCAGCTGGGCTTCAGAGTCGGATGGACCTGGCCTTACCCCAGCTCTCACCCTGGTGAGCTGTGTCGTACTGGGCAATTCACTTAACCTCTCTGAGCCTTTGTTTTCTTAGCCATAAAACTGGGTTAGTAATATCTGTTTACAATATCTACTTACAGGGCTATTTGTAGAGCACTGAAGAAAGTGTGTAGCATAGAAACATTCAGCAAATGACAGCTTAAAGAAAACCTTCTCAGCAAATTAAAGTTAGGGTGGCTAAGAGGGGACAATTATCCACAAGTCTCAGTAGGGAAGATTTAAAATGAGTCTATTAAGATTATTAGTATTTTGGGAAGGGTTCAAGTGGTCTATATATATATATATATATTTATATATATATATATATATATGTATGTATATATCTGAAGTATACACAGATACAGATATATATGTAAGTAAACACATCATTTCGATGTTACACTGGCCAGCATTTTATCTTTAGTTAATAGGTTTTCTGGAATATCTATGGAGATAACAACTCCATATAATGGGTGTGCTGACCATAAGCCTCGCTGTAATGGAGAAGGCTGAAGGGAGGTCTAATGCACAGTTTAGAAATCTAAACAGAGAGTAGGGGCCTCGGGTTACAGCACCGTCCTAAAACAGTTCCACTGGGGACCCTTATCAGACAATATCCTGGTGTCTAGAGCTTTCACAACAACACTTTAACAGACAGATGGTCAGAAGCTTTTACGATACTCACCTTTATCATAAATTATCATCACAAATATTAATTTAAAACTCTCAAGATAAATACTTTCTAAGTACATTGAATTATGCCAATCAGGATTTCCATACTGTATTATGTAATAGCACTGATTCCTACGCTCGACTTTTAAAAAATAAAGTTGGTTATTCAGATTTTTAATCTTTAGGGTCACACGTACCGTTACTGCTACACTACAGTTTCCTAACATATTTAGGTTGAATCTTCCCATCTATTTTCAACTAATAAAATGGAAAACAGGTCCACATTCCTTTTAAAACAGCTTCTCAATTTCCCTTCTTCCTCCTGTTCTACTCAGCCCAGCTTAAAATGAGTCTATTAAGATTATTAGTATTTTGGGAAGGGTTCAAGTGGTCTATATATATCTGAAGTATACACACATACAGATATATATGTATGTGTATATATATATATATATATATATATATATATAGTATATATATATATATATATATATATATATATATATATATATGTATGTATGTATATATCTGAAGTATACACAGATACAGATATATATGTAAGTAAACACATCATTTCGATGTTACACTGGCCAGCATTTTATCTTTAGTTAATAGGTTTTCTGGAATATCTATGGAGATAACAACTCCATATAATGGGTGTGCTGACCATAAGCCTCGCTGTGATGGAGAAGGCTGAAGGGAGGTCAAATGCACAGTTTAGAAATCTAAACAGAGAGTAGGGGCCTCGGGTTACAGCACCGTCCTAAAACAGTTCCACTGGGGACCCTTATCAGACAATATCCTGGTGTCTAGAGCTTTCACAACAACACTTTAACAGACAGATGGTCAGAAGCTTTTACGATACTCACCTTTACGTCCTAAAACAGTTCCACTGGGGACCCTTATCAGACAATATCCTGGTGTCTAGAGCTTTCAAAACAACACTTTGACAGATGGTCAGAAGCTTTTACGATACTCACCTTTGTCATAAATTATCATCACAAATATTAATTTAAAACTCTCAAGATAAATACTTTCTAAGTACATTGAATTATGCCAATCAGGATTTCCATACTGTATTATGTAATAGCACTGATTCCTACGCTCGACTTTTAAAAAATAAAGTTGGTTATTCAGATTTTTAATCTTTAGGGTCACACGTACCGTTACTGCTACACTACAGTTTCCTAACATATTTAGGTTGAATCTTCCCATCTATTTTCAACTAATAAAATGGAAAACAGGTCCACATTCCTTTTAAAACAGCTTCTCAATTTCCCTTCTTCCTCCTGTTCTACTCAGCCCAGCTTCAAAAAAATTACCTTCGAAATTCTGCATCGTCTAAGAAGTTGGATGCTGAAAGGAACCTATAACAAGGCAGGTGGCTCTCAGGGAAGAACCACGATCCAAAGCTGCTGGAGACCAGAGGGAATGAGACACACTGGACACAAATGGCTTCTGGAGTCAGACAACAGAGGTTCCCCCTCCAGCTCAAATGGGCAAGTTACCCCACCAGTCCGTGCTTCAGTTTCCGCATTTTCTAAAAATGGGGATGACGATGATGGTGGTGGTGGTGAAGATACCTAATTCAGAGACTGTTAGAGAAGTGGAACAAGCTCACATACTTAAAGCCCCTTGAAAGGTGTGCAGCAAACAGCAAGCAGCATGTGAGTGTTAGCTATGATCACCATGCAGAAGTGATGTTCTTAAAAGGCAAAAGAAACCCATGACTTTCAAATGTTTGCCTTCATTGTGTCAAGGATTCTGTGCTCACAGAATCAGGAAAAAAAAAATGCAAGGAAAGTCAAGTCATTCAGGCCAGACAGAAAAGCAGCTAGCACCTCCAGCTTTTCAGAGCTGCACACGGGCAACACCAATCTTACAGGTGCCCCTAGGTGGCATCAGAGGCTCATGCCTCAAAAAGAAACTCCAGACCAGAAGATGTAAACTTAATTTGAAGAAGAGAACAAAAAACTAGAAAGACAAGTGAAAACAGGGTTAACAGTAGCAAGAAAGGTTAAATAAAAATTCCAGAATGACTCTGCAGACAACAACTCACAAGAAAATGCAAACATCAGATTGCAAAAATAGGAAATTGCCTCAGGAAAATAAGAGCCAGGTAGTAAAAATAATTAGTAAGATTTATTAATAAACGAGGGAAGACATTAGTATTACTGTAAAAACATTATTACATAACAGTGTATAGTATTAGTAATAAGCAATATTAGCTAATTTATTTTGTTTACTTAAAAAGAGGAAAAACAACAGCCATATAATAACTAATAGTTAATAACTGCTTATACGTGGCATGCTCAAAGAACTCAAATGTAAAAAATTCCACCCTACACCAGAGGACGGCAACCAGGTCCTCCACACAACACAAAAATCTGCCTCAATGACATCAATAATAGGACAAGCAACGGGACAGGAAGTGGCAGAGGAAAACATTCACTATTGCTATCTGACTCTTATTTACATTCCTGATTAGCTGTCTGAGACGGGGCACACAGATGACATCAGTCGTCAATAGCTACTTTAAAAGCAAAAGATAAGTTATATTTATTCTCTCAAATTATCTGAAAGCAAAAATGACTCTACTTCCTTAGCTACCTGTTCAAAGAGTCCCTAATCCAAATGGCTTTAGGATCCTTTGGAGATGGTTCATCTCCCCTAAAATGCTCAGGAACTCTGTCCACACACGCTTCAGATGGGCTACTAGGAGAGGAGAAAGTATCATTTGGTTTCCAAACTTCCAAGCTGGTTTTGGGGCCAGGATTTCCATCCCTACAGCTGTTAAATGCAGCTGTTCGATTTCTTCAGCTCCATTTCTGAGATTGCAGATACGGCTATCTGTGCTTTTCAATTATTCATCAGTGCAAATGATTGATTAGTGAGAGAAAAGTTTCTTCACATCACACACAAACCAAGGTGCTCAGAGGAAGGACGGTTCTCTTGTCCTTATAACAACATGATAGATAAATAGGTGACAGATAGATAGAATTATATAATATATTAATATAATATTGTAATAATGCATATTCTATTATATGATAAATATATAAAATACACATATAGATATCAAATTTGCATATTATATAATATGATATATATATATATACATATATTCTATATATAATATACTTAATTTGGTACAACAGGTTGCTGGGTGGTATAGTAGGTTTCCATGAGGGAGAATTTTTTCAAAATTCGTCAGACCCTCAGTTACAAGGAAAAGGATGACCTCACTAAAATTTTATTGCATTCCTAATCAAGGGACTCAGTCACCTCTTTCACTTGAGGAGGCTAATCGAACCCTGACATAGGTGTCTATTTCCACTCCTAGAGGAGTGATTCTCAGGCTCCAAAGAGGGAAGGTAGAAGGCAAGGTTCTACCTCTGAAATCAGAGTACGAAGGTTAAAAGAATTACAAATATAAAGCAATCGCATGGCACAGATTCTGTAACATGGTGATTCTCAGGCTCCAAAGAGGGAAGGTAGAAGGCAAGGTTCTACCTCTGAAATCAGAGTATGAAGGTTAAAAGAATTACAAATATAAAGCAATCGCATGGCACAGATTCTGTAACATTTTTATTTGTTTGTCTTATTTGTTTTTTATGAAGTGCTAGGCTGAAGATTTTGCAGTACTGACTGCCACAAATCAAGCCAACTACCAACTGCACATGCCGGTTGAGAGCCACTGTCACAGCCAACACACCATGTGTGCTGGAATGATTTAAATAAATGTTTCTCATCACTTAGGAGAGACCATCTTCATTCCAACAAGATTCAGCCAGTCTCAAAACGAGCATGTAAATATATGCTGCCAATTTTATAAAAGAATAGTGCTTCCGAATGTTTTCATGGGGTGGAATGCCCAATGTAGAA